AAAAATATACTTGTATTAAAAATTTAACTCAAGACTGTTTTTCGAAAAAGAAAAAAATATTTTTCTTAAAAACACGTAAAAAGAAGAGAAGAAAAGATATCAAATTTATTACATCTATTACAGGATGAATAATAAAATGTTTAATTTTAAAATTTATTTATAACTAAATAGATGGCGTTAAATACTTGAATGCAAATTGTTATTATATTTATTATCAAAACCATTTATTAGTAAAATTTATTATAATATTAACTGTAATATATTATATAACTGTCAAATCTGAAATACGTTTATAAAAGTGGCATTATATCTAATATTTTATAGACAGAGTTGTTAAAAGATAGAATCAAAAGATCGACGATCCTGGATTCGATCGCATATTTGTCAATTTTACGAGATTTATGATTCTGACTTAAATTGAGGATCGAGATCATTTTGTTTAAAATTCGATCCCGATCTTTTTAAAAATTAATTTTTTACTTAAAAAGCAATAAATAAAATAAAAATTTTGAAAATTAAATTAAAATATTATTTAAAAAAAAATATCTATCTTCATATTTTATCAACTTCCATTCCACAATTTATTTTATAGATATATTTATTCATTTCCTAAATTTTACGAGATTTAGAGCTCTTACAAGTTATTTAATATAAATTTATAATAATATATTAATATTTAATTTAATAGGTAAATGTAAATGTCAATTATAGATTTAGAAGATTCTATTGCTTATACTATTGATGTAACAGCAGATATAAGTGAGAATGAGAATCTTTTACCATTTTTGAAATTACGTAAGTATTTTACTTTATGTGAAATGGATGAAAGCAACTCTTATAATATGATCAGCACCAAATGCCGTCTCTGTAAGAAGATAATATCATCTTCCAAAATATCATCCTCGAACTTAAAGAGACATTTACAAGTAATTCTTTTAAATTTTTAATATATGATAATCTTAATGTCAACATGTTTAAATTTAATTTATTACATTCCTGAGTTGAGCAGGTCCTACAGAAATAGAATCTAGATATAGATTCTTTATAAAAAAATATTTTTTTATGCAATTATTTTATATTATCAGATATCTGCAAAATATATTAAAAAATTGCATTGGCAAATTTAGTAAAATATTTTTAACAAGCCAGTTCTACTAAACCTCTGATATCTAGTAAAATATTAATGGGCCTTTAAAGACATTAAAAATTTATTAGATTATTTGAATTTTAAGCTAATATTTTGAATAATATTCTTTGTAAATAAATTACAATGTTAATTTCTTTGTATATTAAGGATATGACCCAAATATAAATAAATACCATACAGATGATGTGCCAGACTTGACTGTAAAATTTAAAAGGGTTAAGTTTTGCAGATACTTGATTTGATTTATATGAATAAAATGAACACTTATTTAATAATAAATTAATTATCATTTCATAATATAGATTTCCTTCACTGTATGAAGACAGTAACATTTTGGCAGCCATGATTCACCCTAAATTTAAACTTAATTGGCCTTATTTTAATCTGCCACAAAATATGATGGTAAAAGAAAGATTAGTTGCCCATTTGGAAAATATGCAGGAACAACCATATGCGGATACCTCAAATGAATGTATGGATGACATTGATGCTTTTTTTGGGAAAAATACTGTACAAAATGCTTGTTCCTTTAAAAATTTTTTTTATTCAAATGATGATACCATGAATATTTTTAATACTTATATTAATTTTAAAAAAATATTTATTGAATATAATACACCTTTGCCATCAAGCGCTCCTGTGGAGCGCTTGTTTAGTAAAGCTAAACATGTTCTAAATGAAAGACGCGGATGTTTAAATGATGATAATTTGAAAAAAATTTATTATTAAAAGCTAATTTTAATTTTAAATAAATATTTTATAATTGTTATATTTATTATTCAATTACAATAAATTTCTACCATATTTAATTTATTTTTATATTAGTTAATTTTGCATCGGTTATATTATATTATTATTCAATTACAATAAATTTATAACATATATTAGTTAATTTTGATCGGTCTAAAATTTCTCAGAAATTTAAATAGAAAAAAAAGGTCGATCCTGGATTTCGATCCTCTTTTTTTGAAAAGATCGTGATCGGGATTCGATCGTTTTAAAAAGATCTGTTAACTAGCCTGTTTATATACAACTTTATATAGTAGAGGATTATAAACCATATGTCTACTTACTTTTTATAAAGAAAATTCTTATACTTATTTGAACCTTGAAAATATTTTTAAGGTATGATAATAAAATTTCAAAATAAATATACAGTTGATTAGTCATTATGAACTCGGCTAACTTTATTATTAAGTTTGTTAATTTTCAAATAATATATGATTATATTTATTTAATTAGGGTTAAATAATAATTTAAATAATAAAAGTCAATTAAACTTCAACTGTTAAAGCTAAATTAATATTTAGTGAGTTATTGATATTATATTTTTAATACAGAATTTGATTGCTAGCTGACATAGTGAAAATATAATTTATATGTATTAATCTAATCTAATAATAAAAATAATATTCATTTAATAAAAATTTAAATAGTTGTTAATTTCTAAATAATAAAATTATATCTATATATTACTTAATGGAATTATAAAAGAAATCATTCAGTGGGAAATCAAAAAAATTTATTTTTAGTTCAAGGGGATATTAAGGATCCATTAAAAAAAAATTTATACTTCAGAGGGCTATTCAAATATTTCAGGGAGCTCGAGCCCCTGCCCCCTTCCCCCGCCTAGCGACGCCACTGATAGTTGGTAGTAGAGATAGATTTATTTAAGTTATCCTTATAAATTCTCTGAAAAGAGTATTAATATAATTATAAAGGTAAAAACTCAGCCGAAGATAGCGTGAATTATTGGGGGGGGGGGGTGGGGGTAGGCAAAGGTTTTTGAAGGAGGTTTACATCCAGTGAATATCCTGTTAGTGTTGCTAAACGGCTCGTTTTGAGCCGATCTTTATAAGCGGCTAACTCAATATTTTAGCCAGAAAAATATTTCCTAAGCCTCAAGATTTTGATTGTAGTAGGAACAAAGGTTTGAACATCTATTAACGAAATTTCGAGGCTTGGGCATTATTTTTCTGGCTAAAATATTGAGTTAGCCGTTTTTAAATATCGGCTCAGAACGAGCCGTTTAACAACACTAAATCCTGTCATGTAGACGCTGGGTGGTTATATATATATCTAAAAGACATTTCATCAGCATTAGTAAAACGCTATCTATAATTAGAAAATTTCTTGAAATCTTAAAAGTTATGTTTACTTAATAATTATTTATGAATCTTTAAACAATTTTAGTATATTATTAAAACAGAATTTTAGTTTAAATAATGAATCTCAAGATATATTTATTTTAAAATTATCAGAAACCAGGGAGACCTTTTCACTCGTCAATCCCGTAATTGATAATTAATCCTTATTTTTATAGTATATAAGAATTATAATGTCTGGTCCTGGTCTATTTCTTTATTACCGTTTAAAACGCTTTCAATGTTACAATAATTTATCAATGATTGACTGCGAGCACACATTTCCTGTCTTGTCAATCGTTTTATATTAGGCTATGCACATTATTTTCTAAATGATTTATTTAAGAAAGGCCTTATAAACTGATGTTTTCACAGTACAAGATGAAAGATTACTGTATGCGCTTCATGTATAACATAGTCGTAGCCAGGATTTTCATAAAGGGGAGGGAATTAAAAAATTACTGGGGGCTTCGCCCCCAGACCTTCTTTTGGGCGGGCCTTCGGCCCGCTTTCCCCGGCCTTCGGCCGGGTTACTTTAGTCTATATATAGTTTAATAAAAAAAAATAAGCCTGGAACAAATATGAAATATATTTTTATTAGTTTATATAAATTAAAAATATAATGTATTGTATATACCTTAATATAAAAGCATGGTAATAATTTATTTTAAACAATTATAAGAAATTTATTTAAAAAATAAGTAGACATATAGTTGATTTTACTCTATTATATAGAATTAATTATAAAATACTAGGTAAAATTCCACTTTTACAGACATATTTGACAGTTAGAGAATATATTACAGTTAATAATTTAACAAATTTTACTAATCAATGCTCTTGATATTAAATATAGCAACAATATGCATTCAATTATTTAACGCCATCTATTTTTTTAAGTAAAAATGATATTTAAATTTAATCTTCATATTATTCATCCCACAATGTCTTTAAAAGATATTTTCTGATGTCCTTATCAATATTTTATAGTTTTCTGTAAAATATTTAATTCGCTATATTGGTAAAAATTACTTGATTGTCATTTGATAATTAGATATACTGTAAATCTACGACATATAATATTCCACTGTTTGTATTGTGCTTTAATATTTTTTTAATTTATGACTTAATTTTATCAATAGTTTATAATTATATTTTACTTTTATTAAGATAAATAAATTAAAATTACTCACTTTATAAAAAATTATATTTGATATATTATATTATTTAGTAATTTTATGGATCTATTATTATTAATTATAATACATTTCACTTCTGTCTTAAGACTTATGCTTATATTCCATTTATTAAAAAACATTTTTGGTTCATTATTTATAAATTTATTTTCCCAAAATCTATAAATTATGATATATAGTTTTATAAAAAAATATCAACTTTTATATTCTTTCTTTTAAATTATTATTTAAGATATATGCATACATATTTGAGGGTCAGGGAGTGGGGGGAGGACTAAGGGGGATATTTTTTTATTAGCTAAAAATGATATTTACAAAAAGTGATAAATTTCTGGAGGGGGGGATTTCCCCTTGCCACTCCCCGGCTACGCCTATGGTGTATATTTATAATGTCTGCTCCTGGTCTATTACTTTATTACCGTTTAAAACGCTTTCAATGTTACAATAATTTATCAATGATTGACTGCGAGCACACATTTCCTATCTTGTCAATCGTTTTATATTAGGCTATGTTCATTATTTTAGCTAAATGATTTCTTTAAGAAAAGCCTTACAAACTGATGTTTTCACAGCACAAGATGAAAGATTACTGTATGCGCTTCATGTATCTAGGATTAGTAAACGCAAAAAGCATGCCCTTTTGTGTATATCAGGTTTGAATTGCATTTTTTTTTATTCATACAATTTTAAATTTGAAGCAAATAATGAAGGAAATCAGATTTTCATCTATAAAATTAAAAAGATAGAAAAAAATGAGGCCTTTAGAAAAATTGCTTGTTGGCCTTTAACAAGTTTAAAGAAAATTGATTGCCATTGTGATGATCCAGTATAAAATCAATATATATATTTTTATATTGTTATTTATAAGGAATCTTTGACATTTGATATTTACTTTGAAAAAGCTTATTTATGGGAAGCAAATAATATTAATGAAAAGGAAACTTTCTTAACAACTTTATATAAAATGTGTAAAAGGCATCTTGCCCCACTAGAAATGATGCCTGTGTTTCTACATCCACCTTCCAGTCTTGAAGATGGTAATTAAAAATGATACTTATACTATTTATTGTTTTAATCTGATAGTTAAGTTTAACTAATTTTATATTTTATAGATTTAATAGGAACTCCAATAAAACCCCAATCTTTATCAAAAGATAAGGAAATAAAATCCAGTTCTAATCTTGCAGAAAATAGCTTTAATAATGGAATATCATATCAAATAATTTCAAAGAAGGAAGAAAAAGATTTAGAGAAATTAATGAATGAATTTGATAAAGACAAGACCTTTGTTGACATTGAAGCTTTTTCAGAAAAACTCGCAAAAGAGTTGAGTGTTTTGGATGGTGTAAGTTAATTAAAATTATTTTAATATATTATCTTTTTGGTAATAAGCCAAAAAGGAATTACTTGCTATAATTAGATTTATATTCTGTGAATATGAATATCACAATTATTTCGTAAATAAAAAAAATATTTGTTGAATAATAGGTTTTAATATTTGTACTATTCAATATTATTTGTACTATTTGTTTATATTTAGAAAATTTTGTAAATATTTATTTATTCATTCATATTATATATAAGACTAAGTCCAAAATCTTTTTTAAAAATTTAAAATTGTTTGTTGTAAAAAATTAATGAAACAGTATGTTAAATTTTTGAAATTTTTCTACAATTTATTATGGACATATTTTAATATCAAAAAAAGTTTATATTTTTTTCTTTCTTTTTTCACCTTTTCTGGTGGTAAGCTCCTTCAATTTCTCTCTCCACTTTATTCCTGCTATCTCTTTTTATCTAATTTATATTTGCGATATTCCATTGAAGTATCTTTATCGATTCCATTCCCAATGGAATATTCTTATCGATTCCATTTGGATCCTCCATCAGAGTATCGCTAACAAGGTCATTGTATCTTGATTACACACCGAAGTTTCAGATCATTGTAAGCTTGATTTCCCACAGGAGTATCAATCTTGATTGATCTCCCACTGGAGTATCGTTATCAAGTCCATTGTAGATTGGTAGCATTGTGCTAGAATGGCCCTCAAGGTCACCATTATCCTAGAGCTGGGAATGGCCCACAAGTTCAGCTGGCCATCTTCTATTTGGTTTTTTGGACAAGTATCCTAGCACCTGGCTATCCAAGCCTGTCGGTGACAGGGGTGACATTTATCAGCTCAGAAATTCATCTTATCATATGCCTTTAGTCTTTAAACATCAGTCATATAAGAAAAACATGAAAATTTTTACAATTCCTTACCAGGATTGAACCTGGGGCCTTGGTTTCCAAGCACACCATAAATTACTAAAATGTTTGTGAAGCATATTTTTTGATATTATGGACTTAGCCTAAGTAAAATAAAAAATAAATTATCAAGTTTTTATCTAATAGATGAATATTTTATTTTTTACTTTAATTCATCTGCATGTTTTTTCTATATCTGGGGCATTTCATGTCAAATCAACCAAAAAAAAACGAGATTTTTGAATGACCATCTATATAATGAATGAAAGAGCGATTCCATTTAGCTCTCCCTATTTCAGGTGGAAAATACATGCTGTATTTTTCTTAAGTTTAATAAACTTAGATTAAAAATATATTCATATTCAGAGGGCTTTAAAAGTAACAATATCTCAAATGCCAATAATTTTCTTTTTGCTATATTAAAAAATTTGTAACATATGTTTTTGATGGTTCATGACTAAAAAAGAATGGACCTACTGAGGAGATCTATATTACTTTTTTTATATCCCTGAGGACTATCATTATCCTTCTTTTTTACTCCACAATTGAGGAAAAGATATGGCTGCTCATTAAACAAGTAATAATAATAGTAGATCCCATAACAGTGACAGGGCATACCTAAAAACTATCATATCATAAGTTTTAAAAGCACAAAATGGAATATGATAAAGACAAGTGGTTTTTTAATAATAGTTTGTATATAAATTTGCAAAATGTTTATTTTATAATATAACTTTCTAATAATAATAATCACAGCTTGCTTGCATATTGGCCCAGGACATCATATTGGTTATATTGAGTAGATATTTTTTATTTTAATACTAATACATATATATTTTTTATTAAATATATTATATTAAAATGATTTTTAATATATCTCCCATCTATATTTAATTTTTTTATTAAATATAATAAAAATTTAAATAGAAATTTTTAAAAATTACTTTCACAACAATGTTAATTTTTTTAATTTTTACTGGAAATAGGAAAACATTTGGATTTTTTTATTTTCCAATGTATAATTTTAAGGGCCATAAAATGATATATAATTTATAACTCCATCTTAAGTATTTTTATAAAAATAAGATGTAATGAAATCATGCATTGTGTGATTTTCAACTTAATTTGGGATGTATATTATGTAACCCCGAAGATGTATATCTCTGAATCTGGTTGAATAGTGCTTTAAAAATTTTATTTTATTAAAATTTACAACACAAATATCTAACATGGCAATTTTCATTCATTTTTAAGATGATATCCAAAACACGTATATTTTCCATTTAGTATAAAATTTATTATAAAAATTAAAAAGAATGGGGCAAAATATTAATACACTACATAGGTGGAGAAAACTCCCATTAAACAATTTTAAATAGTTATATCTCAGAAAATATTAAAATTTGAAACTTAAAATTTTGCAGAGATAATATGATATTTTTATTTAAAAAATTTATGGTACTTTTTCTAAAGTTATTAAAAAAATTAATTTTTGGAACCTTCCTTTAATTATACATTATGACCAAAAAAATATTAAAAGGTTTAAATTTGATTATATATTTTAAATTAAATATTATTTAATGTTTATAATAGATTGTAAACATTATAAGCAGTTCTAAAAATTGGGTGAATTTTGTTTGGATAATATTATGAAATCTTTGGATTTTATTTCAATTCTTATTTTCGGTAAATTTAATTTTTATTCATTGTGACAATTTTTAGTTTTAGTAAAATCCATAAAAGTGCTATTTTAAAACATGTCACTTGCACATCTATTCTTATTTTTTTATAAAATTATTCTATTTTTTATAAATTTTTGAAAAATTGAATTTTCGAATAAAATTGAATATTACGAATCGAATAATGATTTTATTTGTACGAATATGAATTCGCAAACATATATTGCCGAATTATTATTCCAGTCAATCTGTGTAATTTTTTATAATGCCTGAAATAGATTCCATCATTTTGTAAAATACTCAGACTATTTTATAAGATATTACACATATTGCCTTACACACAAGGATGTATATAATATTCACCCAGCTTAAAATAAATATTTCAATCTGAGGCTAAAAACATATAAGTCATTTTAAGGCTTTAGAATTTATCAAAGAAACGAGAGATGGAATATGAATATATATAATTATGGAAATTTTACTTTCAAAATTAACATATATTTGTATCCTTTTAAGAGTATCGCCGCTGATGGCGGTACCCTATAATTAATTTTCAATGATATTAAAAAAGTGATAGTTACAATTTTTTTAAATGTAATAATAATAATCAATCAGCTCTTTCGAAATTAATATATCTGTTAAAAGAAATTATTTAATCAGAATACGAGTACATATAAGAAATTATAAAAAGATTATAAATACAACAATTTTGTTAATAACGCTGCATTAAATGACGAACCACTTGAACATAACGCATTTACTATAAGTTCGCATTTACTGGCAAGTTCTAACTTAAACCCTACTGTAAACATGGACTATAATTTAAAAAGGAGCTACAAAAGCAACGTTTAAAAACCAAAGATTCTCTCAAGAAAAAAAATCTTGGAATTTCATAAACCTTATAATCCCAATTATTAAATTTAAAGGTTACCCAACTCAATTAACACATGATTGACCTCATATAATTTTAGCTCTAGAAAAATTTATTAGTAATTTTTAGTGTTGTTAAATCTTAACCGAGTTGGTTTACTAGTCAAGTCGTGACTCGAGTAGTTTACGAACTGTTAAACAAACATAATACAAAATTATATATATTTTTTTAAAATATATATTAAAAATGTAGTTTAATTTAAAAATAATAAATTAACTAGAAAAATTTTTGTAAATATTTTATTTCATAAAAATAAGATCGCTTTTGTTTTTCGTAATAAGATTTTTTGTAAATAATATACCAAAAAGATTCACCGGCCGAACAAATTTGGCAAAATATTTTTCAGGACCGGGCCGAAGTTTTTAAAATATTTTGAAAGAACAGATATGCCGTTTTTAAAATTAAATTATTACGAGTCGGAAAATTTGTGCAAATCAATATGTTAATTACTTGGGTTGGCCTATGGCGACTAAAAAAAAATCAATCTAAGAGAAATTATAAAACCTACTAACTGAAAAATTCTAACTACGAGAAAAAAATAATCTTACTTGTAATTCCTAACTGACTCAAATTAAACGATATATGTTTTATTCAACGGAAACAAAATTCAAGTTTCTTTATTAAGAAAATAATAATAATCCAATAATTCTTTTTCATAAGAAAAAGAGAAAAAAAAACTAATGATAACTTTTATAATAATCTATATCAGAAAAAATATATCATCACATGTAGTTTTTATATCCAATCAACCTTATTTAAATCGGTTGATTGGCATTTCGCGTAATAAACATATATTCGTATATACAAATACGACAGCGACCTCTAATAAATATAAGGTAATGAATTTTTAATGACTTGAAATTTTGGGATAAAAATAAGACAATGAAGTAATGAGATAACTTTTACATTTCGAGGCTTAGATTCGTAAATTTTTTTAAAATATGATATTTATTAATATTGATTTGATAATTTTAATAAAATATTATATAATTAATCTTAGCAGGCAACAAAAACAATAATAATAACTTGGAATTATTCAAGCCGATTCGAGTTTAAACTCAAGTTCAGAACTCGAGTCGCGACTTGAGTCGATTTATCGCGACTTCGACTTGGAGTCAGGAGGACTGCACCATTTAACAACACTACAATTTCGATCAACATCTTTATGTTAAAAAATTTTCTTAACGTTTTTTTTAAATTTAAAAAATTAACAAAAAATTAAGGTCCCTGAGCTAATGACGAATGGATTGCATTAGAGATAATAAATATCGAACCATTTGAATTAATTGGAGGTCTAGTATATTATACTACTCTGTGTCCAAAAACATCAAAAAAATTTAGAATTATATGGCAACAATCTTTTTTTTTAACGGGAAAATAAAAATATGGTAGTCTTTCTTAAAATTTTATAACTTTTTAAACAAATTTTGGATCCAACACTAAAAAAAAGATTAAGAAAAATTTCATTTCAAAATAGGTCAACATATATTCCCTCATGGGGTCGGAACTCGATATGAGCCAACTCATGAAAATTGTAGATGGCGCGCTAACACAAGTTGAAATTCTGGAGCACAAGTTAATGGACTGGGACGAGACGTGCCTCAATCACGTCCGGGGTCACATGGACCTCATGGACGAAAAGGATAATGCCATCCACCTGGTCGATAAAAACAAAACTGCCCTCAAGCAAGAACTCACCGAATTGATTGTAAATAATTATATTTTTTGTTTAAGCTAAGTCCAAAATATCAAAAAATATGATCGCAAACTTTTGAAACTTTATAGAAAAAACATAAGCCTTAATATAAACACCACAACATTATTCTAGAAAATTTCAAAAATTTTACATATGATTTCTTTAAAATTTTAAAACTTCTTTGATCGAAGGGTAGACATTTTAACTTGTTCGGGTTTTAATTTAAAAAAATTTCTCGAATTCTATTGAGCCTGGAAAATTGGTCCGATACAGGGCTATTATTTATGTTAAATATAATAAAAAAGTTTGTATAATTTGGGCATCCTAATCTGAAAAATTTTTGGCCTGAGTTGCCTATAGCTAGACAAGTATCAAACTCCGAATTTTATCGCTATTTTAATTTTAAAAAATGGTATCACAATATATCTTGGCTTACGTAATAGATATTTATAGTTTGAAAATGCTCATTATAACAAAAATATAATACTCTTAAGAATTTTAAACCTCCCTTATATTAATTTTTTTTGAGAATGCTCAAACAGAATTTTTAAGCTTATTTTACCTAAATTCCTTTTTTTTCAAAAAGATCTTTTTAAATCGACGAATAAAAAAAAATAGAAAGAATAAAATTGTGATAAAAATAACTACTATTTATCATATGTAATTAGACAGTGGAAATTTGTGATAATGACTAGAGTTGCAAGTCTTTATAAGAAAGTAGAACCATATTTTTCTAATTTTTACACATAAAAAACTTTCATGATTGAAATCAAAAATTTTTTTATCCCTTAAAAAAATCTTAAATGCGATCTTTAAACGATTTTTTTTAATTTGCAAAATTTTGAAACTTTTCGAATCATTAATAAGGGCTTGGACACAACCAAATAACTTGCGAAATAAATTCTTAGCTAACTTGGACATGCCAAGAATTGGATGAATTTCTAAATTTGATTTAGAATTTCACTAATATAATCATAGAGTATTTCAGATAGTTTAATTAAGTTTTATTAAAAAAAATTAATGGGAGTTTATGATTCCTTAATTATAAAATCCCTCAAAAAACTATAAAATTGGTAAAAGCCCATATACAATTTATCTTAAACTACTCCTTTTCAAAAATATACATAAGTCCTACCCTATATCTGGCGGCCCATTCTTTTCTATAAAGATGAATGTTTGAGAAAGTGATTGAACATTTATATGCTTTAGAGTTTGAGACCAGAACCTAAAACTTTGGAATCGCATCAAATTTTAGAAAGCAGAATCAGAACTCACTTATCAAAATTTTAAGTACTAGAACCCCTTTTCGTCCAGGTGCCAAACTCTTGTTAATTTACACAAGAATTGACATTTAAACTTTCAACCGCCAAGACATAGACACGTCGGGCTAGTTAATTCGTGACTTAAAAACGTTTTATTTATTTAAACAATCTATATAACAACCTCATCAGATTTTTTTTCTGGGAATTTTTCATCCTATTACCATTTTGAGTATTAAGCTTGATCCATCATAGCGTTATATTTATATGTACCAACCAGGAAAATCTAGATTACCCTTCCCACTTTAAAAAAGTGCTCGCCGATGATGATCTAAACGTAACGGAAAGGATTAAGGAGTTTAACAGGGCGGCTTATGAACTTCAAAAATCGATAACGTATTCTCGATCTAATATTGGTTTAACATTTAATAATAAATTTTATATTTTACTTAACTCACCTGCAGAGGTACCATTTCCCCGGTCCAGCCCGGATTTTTTCATTTTTCAGTCCGGCCCGAGTTTTATAATTTTTGGCCCGACCCGGATTTTTTTAAAATATATTCTATTAATTTTTATAGTTAATAATGGCTATTTAAAATATTTAGTTTTAAAATGTACAGCCCGGCCTAGGTATTTGTTATTTTAAAAAAAAAATTTTAAGCCCAGCCCGATTCGGGTTTATTTAAAGAAACTAAAATATGGGCCGGGCCTGCAGGTCTCTGACTCATATATGAATGAATCAGCAAGAAAGAAAGAAAACTAATAAATTTTATGTATATCTTTATTTTTTTGTAAAATTTAATAGTATGCAAGCATAATTTTTTAAAAATATCTTTTAATTTAGAAGACCAATTTGGATCGAATATAAGAAATAAATATTTTATAAACGATAGGCAATTCTATTTTTTCTAGAGCTGTTATGATAAAACCTTAGTGTAGAACTGAGCTAGGAAACCGAAATTAACCGGTGGCATTTATTAGAAAACTTTGGTAGTAGAGAATTTAAACGTTATGGATACTTTCAACCCATAATGCTTTTAAAGATTATATTTCTTTATTTTAAATGATTTTTTCCCTTTGAAAATCCATCTTTATTTTTTTTATCTAAAAATTCGATCATAAAAATGTAATATTTATAGAAGAGCATATTTTAAAAAAGAATATACTGTCTCTATAAAATACATTTTAAAAATAACTAATTTAAAAAAATAACAAAATTTAAGTTATAGAAATACAGGTGAAATGACAAATGAATTGAAATTTTTTTATAAACTTAATCAGCTGTTTAATCGCTTCGTGTTCATTCGCAGCCTTAAATAAGAAATGCTTCGAATAAATATATGCATTTTTTTCCCTACTTGGTAAGTTTTTAAAAATCTTATTTAAATTTTATAGCCTTGAAAAAAATGAAAGCAGTTCATGAAAAATACACCGAATTTGAGACATTGCGAATAAACTTTTCCAAAAAGTTGCTACACCATCTGATATCCATTTTCAATAAAGTGGTAAGTATTTTTGACTTTTTTTATTTAACCAGTAATATTAAAAACGAGAGGTCTGAAAAATATATAAGTTGCTAAAATATAAATAAATAAATTCATGTATAATTAATTAATGATCCTTTATTGTCACCTTAGCTTATATAACATGATCCAATATACAATTATAATAATATAATCAAAATTATAAAATAATATAAAAATAAAATCTAAAAAGTACAAAAAAAATTTAATAATCTTCATATCAAAAAGCAACAACTTTTTTCTAAAATATTTAAATTTACATAGACTATCATATCACTTCTAATAATAAAACATCACATTTAATCTCATAATAACGTAAAAATTTTCCAAATTAATTACATGTCTAATATTAACAAATATAAATTATCCCAAAAAACTTTAGCCATAATAAATTCTTCATGCAATTATACGAAAAAAAACTAAATTAACATTTTATATTATTTGCCATATACATCGATATCACAACAAAAATATGCTTAGCAATTATTTTAATGAAATTTTAAAACATTCAAAAGTTAATATTTTATAAAAAAATAGGTAAATTTATCTGTAAGATTTGTAGTATATAGTTAAAAAACAGGATTTTTTTTTCTCGAAAATAACTTCATCCCTATATTTAATGACCTCTCATATTAATTTTTTTTTACAGAATAACAAGATATTCGCATCCTTAAATATTAATACCACAACCGCATATTCTAATACAAGCAACCACAACCAATTGGGTGCTAAGGATGAAAAGTCTATTCTAAATAACATAGTAACGTTGAGTAATCTCAAGAGCAAGTCTCTGAAAGAGTCATGTTCTCCTTTTCGGGAATTGATCAAATGGCTTAAGTTAGCTTCGCCCGATATTTACATAGAACTGATTAAGGTAACTCAATCTCTTAAATCTATATTGATTTATAAGTACACTAAAACCGGAATTTAAACCGTTATAACTATCGGTTTGACAATCTGGACAAGACTTGGAATGATTACGTGCAACTTGGACATTGCTATAACATCTAATGGGATTTATAAAATCCTTTAACTCATCAATAGTTATAATTTTTTCAAGTGGATTATAGAACCCATTTTAATATTTCTGGGACCCGAACCTGTTCATATAAAAGCGCAATTGGTTTTACGCATAATATATAAAACGTTGAGTGATTCATTTGAGGTTGCTAACATTTGAACCACAACCTCTTGTCCATCCATCCAAACTCTTACATGTAATACAGATAGAATTTTCCCTTATCTTGACATTTTAATAATGTACTACTAGATCATTTATAGGTATCAATTCAGTGGCGTATCCAGGATTTTCTTATAGGAGGGGAAAAATTTTTGGGGGCTTCGCCCCCAAACCCCTTTTACCTGGCCTTCGGCCAGCTTTCCCCGGCCTTCGGCCGGGTCTTATTTAGCTATTCTATTAAATTATGAATAATTTAATAATAATTATATTTCTATTTTTAACTATTATTTACTAATTCGTGCTTATAGATAGGATATTACAAGCCTCTTTTTTATTATTTCAAGTTAGGTATATTATATTTAATAAAGTTTTTTTAAATGTAAAGGTTTATTTATATGTAAAGTTGAAATAAAGTGTAATGTCATTTTTTTTAAAATTTGCTTTAAAAACTAGCCTCAGCATAAATTCTCATACAATATAAGTAGAATATAATTTTTTTTATTGAAAATACTAATAGTAGTTTAAAATATTGACTAGAAAATAATTAAATTAACAAGTTTTTTTTAACTTCTTATCAAATACAAGATTTTTAATTATTTCGTTTGTCTTTGGAACCAAATCTCTGTGTATATTTAACAGAGCTAACCCATTTAGCCGAGATTCAATACTTCGTAAATATGTTTTCAACCTTCTCAAGTTGGAAAAAGTCCTTTCATTAGTACATGTTGTAATAGGCAAACATGCAGGAATATAAAACAACTTCGAAATATTAGGAAATTGAGCCAAGGTTTCTTTACACCGATTGAGCGCATCAATAGCATGCTCAGGTAAAATAGCTAAACGTATAAATATTTATACCACAATTCGAATTCACTGATTAAATTTATTTCAGTATCAATCTCATAGGAATAAAATTTTTCTTAATATTTAATTTTACCAATATTGGCATTAGAAAATGAAGAAGGATCTTTGGGTAATAAAACTTGAAGATTTCTAAAGACTTGTTTTTTATCTAAAACCTGTACTTTTATTTGCTATAAAAAGGTATCTAAGAATGGGATGAAAATGGATATTTTATAATATTCTTCAATTGAGCCAATATTTATTTTCATCTCAATAATGGCCTAGGTGCTAGACGAGGTTTAATTAGTATTATATCATATTTAGCCTTCGATTCAACGTCTAGATAAATATTATGAAAATATTTATCTACATTCATTCTTATTGTATCTACCTGTTCATGTATATTTTCCGCCAAATCAATAACTTGAACCAAATCTAAATTTGGTTTTTGTAAATTTCTACAAAGTAGTGAGCTAAAAATAATTTATTGATGCAACTAGCAGCAATGATAAACTCTGATTGATCAATTGAATTCAATAATGATATCGCTGTTAACGACACATTACTTTTTTTCATGCTCAGCCTTATTTATAAATTATCGTTTGATTTCAATCTCTTTGACTAAATATTTTTCCATTTTATTAATATTTTTGAATAATATGTTGGGAAATTGATATTCAAATATTTGTAAAACTTAGATTGGTGGGGGGAGAGGAGAATCTGGGGGGTGGGGGTAAAATTTTTATTAGCTTAAAATGATATTTATGAAAATAGTCAAATTTGCGATGGGGGGGGGGGAATTTCCCCCTTTCCCCCCATTGGTTACGCGCCTGTATCAATTTCTAACTATCTTATTGATTTAAAAAATATTTTTCCTTAAAATGGTATTGGTTTAGAAAATCCTGAGCGATTCGGCCCTAATCCGACCCTAAGTTGAATCCAAAAATAAAAAAGTATATTTCGGGCCTGGTTTTGACTTAAAAATTCTGAATGGTCAGACCTACCAATTTAGAGTGGTGCTTAGACTAAAATTATTATGCAAAAAACTTAGAGAAGAAAAACAAAAATTATTATTAAAACTTTTGATTGTGTTTTAAAAATAAACATCATCGTTTTCGAAAAGGATATAAAGATGAGTTGTCTGGTTAATTTAGAAAATTGAATTATTTTTTTTGATTTTCTATATCGATTGAATCAATTATTAATACCATATTCTATAAATAATTGATATGAATATATTCACATAGATTACAATAATATTGCTAATCACAGTTACTAAACTTATGTAATAGGTGTGGATTTAAGAGATCCAGATATTATTTTATCTTTTCTAAGGAAATAATTATTGCATCAATATATTTTGCTGTAAATTTATATAAAAATATATCACTTGCTAAGACATATAAAATACATTTTTTTAAGTTATTCACAAAATAAAGCCAAAATTAGTAAATAAATATATAAATATAAGATATTTGTATTAATTAATTATTTGAATCATTGGTTTTAGCATTTCCTTTAAACCAATATATATCATTTCCTGGATTGATTTAGTGCCTATTGATATTGAAGACCAACATAATTGTTATTGTTGCCAGCCCTATATACAATTATTTTATGTTTTTTTAAAAAAATAACTAGATAAATTCTAATTTTTCATTGCATTGCCATAAAAAAAATTTAACAAGGCTTACGTTACTATATATTCCAGCACTTACGAGAGAGAAATTAAAGAATTTTTCGATAAGTGCAAATCCGTTCTCATTTCTCACGCGTCCCCCGCCATTAACTCACTCGCGCCTTCAAATGTTAACGAAAATAACCCTCTGCATAAGCGGTCTCTAACTCTTCACAGCTCAGGTTTTCATTCCTCCCCTCTTCCTAAAGTTGACGTCCAAATTTGATTTACTTTTTGTATAGCAACAATCTATATAGAACTGTACAACGAATTAGAACAGTTGTTGCATCATACATTATTGTTTACTAAAAGTAATCAGCTGTGAATTTAATTTTAAAAAATGATATATGGCCGTCGTTTGGGATGTTAAATAATGTATCTAGCATTAAAATATTTTCTTATATGGGCAAAACGTTTTTTTAAGTCTTCCTTAAACTCATAATATAGTGACGCCATTTTTAACCTATTTTTTTTGGTTTATTAGTCGAATTTGCGTCTAGTTGTTAACACTGGATATTAATAAGTTTTAGCCTTACAAATTGTTCTTATTAGATTGATTTAAGTGAAACCATTATAAGACTTTATTTACAGTAAACACGTTATGTTAAAGCGTTACGTTATTTAACACAGCGTTATTACAAAATAAAACCAATAAATAGTTATAAATGTATAAATATGACCGTTATGATGATAACACTATGATAAAGTTTGAAAAACATATGTTGCGATGCATTGATAATAAATATGCGATACAATTATAAAATAATAGCGAATTCGGTAATAAAGTAAAGGATTTTTCTTAAATATTATATAAAATAATTATCTCTATTTTAGCTTTATTTTAAATTAATTTTAAAAACTGAACTAGCTGTAATAACGCTACTTTAAATAACGCAACGCTTAAAGATAATGCGTTTATAAATTCAACGTAAGTTACATATTCTCATCAATAAAAAAAACGCTTTCCAACTTTTCTTATTGTTTATTATTTAACCCATCCAAATTTTGCAATGTAAAAATTCTTGATATCGTCATTAATTTTTTTTATCAGATGCATAGTCGTCACGCCATAAACCGACGATTAAATGTCTCATTATATATATTTGTTACATTATTTAATTCACTTGAATAGTCCTTAAGATACTCATGTCTAGGAATGTTAATTTCACGGGAAAGTTATGGAAAAAACGAGAAATTATCTTTTTAAAAATACTTTACAGGTCAATATTGATTATTTTTTCATGTTTTCTTGAAAATATATAGATTAGAAACTTTATATTTAAACATAAATGATTTAATTTCAACTAATTTGTTAGTTATTTTCGTTTAAAGATGAAAATGATTCCAGATCAGCCTGGAAATCTAGAATTCAGCAATTTGTCATTTGCAGAAATTTTTTTCCTCAGATATACCATAAACTGAGGCTTGGTTCTTATAAAAGACAATTTTTGGACCTCATTTTTTAAAATCTTATTTCTAGATTTCGAATGAATATTTTCAAAAGAGGACCATATTCTTTTCAACGCTGCCCCTGTCGGGTGACACTGGTAAAATCCGTATGCTAGAGTCGATCGTATTGAATGCAACATAAACATAATGAAATATTGAACACAATTTTAAGATTATAAAAAGGTTTAGGTTATTATTTACTAAAATATAAAGTATTTAACCTTTTCCATTGGATCTTGTAAATAATGTACCTTGCAAATTTGCCACATTTAAAATCTTCCCTTGCCTGATATTTGGATAGGCTTCCCATTACTTTCGCATATCTAAATCTAGAAATCCAGAAAATAAGGTTACGATATTCTAACCCCTTTCAACTTCATTGTCTTTTAAATTAAATCTTCAAAACCTTGGATCAAATATATGAGCAGCATAATGTACATGGCAGAAAAGAAATTCGGCTTAAACTACTCAATCTCTGAACGCTCTGCAACAATGTTGATATTGTTTTATAATTGTTAAATGTATCCTTGATATAAATAATTGCTTGAAGGACGTCAAATAAATTTGTGTAAATATGACTTTTATAAAATTGTAGAGTTGCATAAGATCATTTAAAAACCCATCATCATTATCGAGAAGAGTAAGTCATTTATCTCGTTAAGTAAAAATATCAAGAATTGCCATTTCCAATAAAATATATTTATATTTTAATATAAGATATTTACCATCAAAACTGGCTAGGCAACTAAAGGAAACAATTTTATTTTTATTTCTAAGGAGTTGTTTTTCCTTTATGATAAAAAAATATTGTTAGATTTTACATATTGGATGACACTGAGCTTTGTGACTAAAACTTGAATCGACAATATTTTATTTGTTAAACCCTTTAGAAGTAACATAAGTCTATAAGCGGCACACCCAATGCATTTAATAGTTGGATATATAATTTTTATAACGGTCCATGTTTTCTTCATATTTACTTGCTTTATCCCTTATCTTGGTGTTTATTTTTGTAATTCCCTATCATTTTATAAATAAATTGAATTAGGGAGCAATATGCATAATGGGAGATTATATATCTAATGAATTTATTAGAATAATTGATGAAATATTAAACACAAATTAACACCATAATAACTTATAATATAAGTAATTTGAAGAAAGCATCGACACTTGCAAGAAATAAATATCCAATTATCGATTGTATTGTGGGTGTAGCTCATGGATTAATTTGTTTTTAAAATAGAGCAAATTAAATTGCTCAATTCAAATTTTAATAGCAAAGGCCAAAGGTATTGTAAATTATTATAAAATAACAATATTCTCTTGTGAACATTTAAGGGAAAACAATTAGAGATAAAAATAGGATTGTCCTAAAATTAGCCTAATTAAATTCTTTGGTTAGGTATAGTTTTGATGATTAATTAAAGCCTGTTTAAAAAGTAGGTATTTTGCAGGAAATGATAATACTAGAGACTTACTCTTTCATAATGAAGGTATTGTTTTAAATGATCCTGTATTATACATTACAAGAACCATTTTTATACAAATAATCCAAGTTTCTGACGTTTCTCAGGCATTTACTTATATCAGGAGATATTCAACAATTATAAAGCAGGATCAAATCTCTTGTAGAACGAAATTATAGAGATTTAAAAAAAATTTATAAACCGAGAAATTTTATCTTCAAGCGAAGATAACGAAAATAATTGAAATTAATACTTGGTTAAATAGTAGGTTAATAATCTATATATTTTTAATAAAACATAGGGAAGAGAATCAATATTGACGTTTAAAATATTTTTTAAAAGGAAATTTTCCGTTGTTTTCCTATTTTCCCAAAATTTCCCAGAATGATAATTTCCCGGAAAATTTAAGTCGCTATTTTAATATCGTTTCGAATTGTGAACATTATTTAGGCATTTCAAATTCACTTTTTAGGTGTCCATAGTAAAATGAGCGTTACTCATATCGAAAGCGGCCGATCTGATATGAAGAGAGATAATTGGCTTAAGGAGATAGGCTCTCTTAATCAATCAATAAATTCCACGTTAAATCACGGTATCGATTTTAAAACGGTAATATTATATTTTTAAATAATACTATATTTTGTTGGCCAAGAATAGTATTGGTATTTTTTTTTACCGGAGTGGAATATTTAAGATTATTAATTTTAAAAAAAATTTATATTAAAACAAACCATTTTAGTTATTCGATAAGGTTATATCAAATATCACAAACGTTATAAGAGAAGAACAAGAATTCGGTATTATTTTTAGCCTTTTATTTAAAAACAAAGTATGAAACCTAATTCATATATAAATAAATGGCAGCATAAAAAATATTTGAGATATTGATCCCTATTTTTGAGTTATATTTTTGTTAAATTTTAACATTTTTAATCTCAATTTTTTAACAAAAAAAATCATAATTTGGATTTTAATTTTCATATACGCACTTTATTAAAAATAGGAATTCCGTTTTTTTAAAAAAAAGAGTGACACAAAGTTAAAGATTAAAAAAAACACGATACACCATAATTGTATTTAGGCCTGTTCAAAAACGAATCGAATAGTGAATTATTCGTATTCGCTTATTTTAAATAGATCTAATAATTTACTATTATTAAAAAGAATAATTCATTATTCTAATACTTTAAACAAGTTGTCCGACCCGACCCTAATTTTTGCACGGACTAGGCCATGCTGGCCTTTAATGTCGAATTCGAAAATTTCAATTAAAATGCTTAATATAAATAAATAGAAATCATGTTAAAATGTGTTATTATAATTGCTAAGTTATATCGCAGTTTGACCTTACCCGCGAAGCGCCTATAAGCTTGCAAGAAGACATTCCTACTCAAACTTTTCCTCTCTCATCATCCTCGACTCGACATACCAGCGTCGGTCAAGAAAGAAAATTACCTCAAAATCAATCAAAAATATTCGCTAAATCCATCATTTTGAATTCCACATTGTCAAGCACGGCCAATAATACTAGTTACGATTCAAAGGACGCTAAGGCTGTCAATGAGTATGGCTCCGCTGGTATTAACAATGGAATAGAGGGCGTTAATTATTCTATGCAGCCCTCCGATTTTGCCTCGGATATGACCGATAAGTTTGCCATATTTTAAAAAAGATAATTCATTCATTTTAAAAAGTATAACTGAGTTTAATGTTTCTAACTGTTGAAAAATAATTTTACAATGAAATCAGACCTGTGTCTACGGTTTTCTCATGGGGTAGGAAAACATTTTGGGTTACTCCCCTCCCCCTTAAAATTTATTAATGGGATTTAAGTCAATCCAGTTTTAGAAGGACTTTATCTAGATTATAAATTTTTTTAATTCGTGGGCTTTGTAGAGGGATAATTTTTCCCGGTATTGCATATTTCTTAGAATTATGCTTACAAAAATACGAATCGAATACTTCATTATTCGTATTTAATTTGTATTTTTGAATCAAATAATTATATTAAAAATATTCGATTCGAATATTTAATTCTTTAAAAATATTTACAAAAAGGAAAAAATGGATTATTGAAATTAAAGTGATTTATAGATGTGGAATAAAGTAAAAATAAATAAAAAGTTCCCAAGGAACTATGAACTTGTTAAATACTTGGGAATTGAAATAATTATTAAGAATTGTGCATTAATTTATATTTCCAACATTTATTTTTTTCAAATATAATTTAAATGTATATATCAAATTTTTTAAAAAAATTATATTATTTACAAAGTTCATTTTCGAGACATTAATTTGCCGATTATATACATTTAATATTTTATCATTAATTTTATTTAAATTTGTATATTAGAAATTGTCAATATTTTATTGTCAGTAGTAGTAGTATTGTTAAACAACTCGATTTGATCCAATTTTTCTTAAGCTTCGAGATTTTTCTGATGTCTAAACCTTTGTGCCATCTATAAAATCTTTAGGCTTGAGTAATATTTTTTTGGATAAAACATTGAGTTCGTCATTTTAGAATCGGTGGAAATCGACCCGTTTTCTTAAACTTAAGATAATCTTTATTAACTTTTAGAATATTTTTTAGAAAAAATTTAATCCCCCCCCCCCTCCCTACGAATTCTTGCGTGCGTGCCTAGATATAACGAAAATATCTATAATAGATAAAGATACTTTTATAAAAATATACTTGAATTAAAAACAGATAATATTTTATATTTACAACTCTGGATTTTTTTACTTCCTCCCTCCCTTCCTTGGTTACCAATGAATGAAACTTTCATAAAAGTGATGGTTAACACTCGAGGGATTTACTATTATTATATAAAAAAAATTAAAAAAGTAATAGGTTAATTTTTAATTCTGATTGTGAGTTAGCTTAAATATAAGATAATAAATTTATATTTTTGATACCTTACATATGGAATAATTTTTAAAGGGATCATAACTATCCGATATCTTCATGGGATTTAAAGGGATCCCTTTAAAATTTCAATTTTTTAAAGGATAAAGAACTATACGGCATTATCACGTTTGAACCATGATATAGAAGAATCTTATTTTAAAAAGCGTTTTCCGCGCGTTTTGTTTTTTAATTTTATTGTTATTCATTAATTTTCAATGTTGTTTTTTTGGCCTTATGAAATAAGATATGTCTAATATAGGGTATCAATCGATAACTAATCAAAAGATCTTTCAACTGGAGGTCAATCTCTCTCCCATAATGGGCGGGTACAGGTCTTGGGGGGTCAGAAATATTTTTATCAACACAAAATATCGATATGGGTATCAAATAAAAGCTAATTTTAATATGGCTTGAATGAAAGTCTTCATTCTTGGTCTGGATGGGTGGATATGACTTGGTCTGGGGGGTGGATGGAGGGGGGGGGGTAAAAAATATTTTTTTTAGATATGGATATCAAATAAAAGCTAATTTTAATATCGTTTGACTGAAAGTCTTCATTCTTGGTCTGGATGGGGTTGACTTGGTCTGGGGAGGGGGTGGGGTGTAAAAAATATTTTTTTTAGATATGGGTATCAAATAAAAGCTAATTTTAATATCGTTTAAAATTCTTTATTCTTGGTCTTGATGGGTATGACTTGGTCTGGGGGGTAGGAGTGGAGGGGATGTAAAAAATAAATTTTTTGATATGGGTATCGAATAAAAGCTAATTTTAATATCGTTTGACTGAAAGTCATCATTCTTGGTCTGGATAGGTATGACTTGATCTTGGGGATGTAGAAGGGGGAGTGTATAAAATATTTTTTTTTGATATGTGTATCAAATAAGAGGTAATTAAAATATTTTTTTATTGTAATAATATTAATCACTCATTGAGGGCGGGTTTAGGTCTTGGGGGGTCAGAAATATTTTTATCACCACAAAATATCGATATGGGTATCAAATAAAAGCTAATTTCAATATCTTTAGATTGAAATTATTCATTTTTTGTCTTGATGGATATGACTGTCAGGCCCTCAACATATTAACAAAATGTCTAGTTGGATAGAATTCACAGAAATAAAATCGGTTCCAATCCTCTGAACTTGAAATATATAATTTGCAGTGTTCTATAGCGCGTTATTCCATAGCTATTTATTTAGTATCGATAGCTTTAGCGTGCTACATTTTTTTAAAAAGAGAGATAGCGGTAGCTCTTTACTAAATAATTAGCAAAAATTATTATAATAATTTTATAATTAATTCTACATAATCTTTTTATTTTAAAATTTACATTTAAAAATATACATTGTAAATACATTTTTCAAAAAAAAATGATTTTTAAATGTCGACAGTAGACATTGTTAATGAAAATAATTTTGGTACAGATATCGATTAATACCCTATATTAGACATATCTTATTTCATAAGGCCAAAAAAAACATTGAAAATTAATGAATAACAATAAAATTAAAAAACGAAACGCGCGGAAAAGTTTTTTAAAATAAGATTCCTCTTTATCACGATTAGAACGTAATAATACCGTATTATCATTCCTTAACTTAAAACCCTAATTTTTTAGTTATCCCTTTATAACCCGTGAAGATCCCGGATAGTTATGATCCCTTTAAAAATTACGACAAATATATTATAAATATATATATATAAACCTATTTATGATGTTTATTTACCATCCATAAATTTAAAACTTTACCTCTTAAACAGATTTCTGGAACGATATGTCTAAACGGGAACGTTTATAATCGCGTTTTGTATAATATATAATTTTGTATATGCGTTAATTTATAATTAGGGAATTCCTGATTTTATTATTTCCAACGCTCCCTGCCGACATGGATTCATTCTTGATCAATAGCGACAGGATGTCTAAATTGTGAGTGTATCATTAATAATATGTAGCTTAAATAAATTAAGATTTAAAAAAAATGGATCAAATATTACATTTTATAACGAACCAGGGCGAAAGATCCTCTCATCTCAAATTATTTTTCATGGGTAGAATTAGGTAAATTTAGAAATATCTGTTATCGTGCAAAGTAATTACATGAATAATAAAATGTAACCACGATGAGGATACTAAAATAATTGTGCTGCCTAAGAAAAGGGACACAAAAAAACACTTAGTATTTTAATACTTTTGTTATTGAAAAAATATTATATTAAAATGTATGTTCGCAAACAAAAGGTGACAAATAATTTAAAAACGTTACAAATATAACACTAGTTACGGCGGTTTATTTATTTTATTAACATTATTATTTTTTTTGAAGTTATTCACTCCGCGCATTAGTCAAGTTGATGGATTATTTTATCTTGCAAAATGTCAACGGCAATATTTCCAATTCGTCATATAATGACCTCTCATCTGCCTACGCCAGGTTGCTGCTATTGAATAGTATGATATTATCGAAGCGACACATGGATAAATTTATGGTAGCTGCAACATTTCTACACCCAATTTTTTTTAAATAAGATTTATTTTGCATCACAGTTTTTTTTAAACATCATACTCTGATTTTGACTACTTTTTTGTTTTTCTATTCATTTCTATATTATAAACAAAACCATAAAAGCCAATTTTTTTCATAGCATGTTTTACAATGATATAGTATATAAGAAAGAAAGAATTTTGAAAAAATTTAATTTTTTTAAATTTAAATGTTAAAAACATATCAGAACTCTATCATCAAAAATATGGAGGACCCAAAGAACATCAGACAAATCAATAAATCAAACTATGGTGGGGGTGTTCTCAATTTTGTCACCGAATTTCCGGTTAAATTTTTATCTTAAAAAAATAAAATAATATGTAATATATAACCGATTAACAAGATCCTTTCAATTTAAGCCTTACAAAGCCATTTTTTTTATCTAGATGCGCGTTAATAAAACGTTATGCTGGAATATAAAATGCCTTTGGCATGAATTAAGTGCGATTACGCATTTCGTATTACAGTGAACGAAGCGGTCCCTTTCATTGTTTTAAAAAATATTTAACGTTTTAGGGTAGCTGCTTTTATTTAGCGTAATGGGGCAAATAAAGCAGAGATGCATGAGGTCATTTTTTAGATAACTGATAAAATCATACCAAGAAATTATTTTGTTATTATATGTTAGGCCAATTCGAATACGAATCGAATAAAGAAATTCGTATTCTATTATTTTTAACGAATCGAATAATTTACTATTCGTAATTATGCCAATCAAATACGAATCAATGTATAATATTATTCATACTCGTTTTTGATTAAGCCTATTTATGTTTAGTGTTTATTGCAGTAAAAAAATCCATAAAATTCAGCAGTTTTTTTTAAAAATAATTAATACAACACAATAAAAGTTGGAAGGAATCAAAAGTAAATGGGGAGATTAATTTTATTTCTTCCATATCGGTTTAAAAATTTTGTACATAATTTTCTTTTAAAGGTGATGTCATAAATATAATTAATAAACTAACCTTAACGAAAAAAAGGTATACAAAATTTTCTTTTAGAGGCTATGTCCTAAATAAAATTAATAAACTTTCGTAACTTTTACGGAAAAAGATAAGTAAGTTATTTTTGATAAAAACAGAATAGTGGCCCTAAATCATTTATTCGAATTTACGAAAGTTTAGTGATTTTTTAAAGTTCGAGAAAAATTTAATAAATTTGTGAAATTTTTACGAAAAAAGTAAGCAATAATTAATTTATTCAAATTATAAGAAATTGTCAGTTATATTAATCAAAATGGGAATTACTTAAATAAAAATAATTTAGTAAGGATTATAAATTTCAAAATTTATAAAACTTTAAAAAAATTGAATGCAATTTGGACATGCTTCAGAAAGTTAGGAAAGATTTGAAATTTTCAGATTTTTTTAAATATATTTGGAACATAGCCTAAAATCAATTCAGGATAGGTTAAAAAATTATGAGGATTAAATTGTAATGATTTTTTCTTTTCTTTAAATAGAAACTAGCCGATAATCTAGAAGCTATTTTTAAGTCGGCCGATCTGGATGGTTATAATAGCAAGCGGAGAGAAATGGATAAATGGTACACCCTACTGGTTAGAGCTATGTTCAATAACGTCAATAAGATCGCTTATGAGCAAGTCAAACTGCCGAGGGATGTCGTTCTTTTTGGTTAAATATGAATAAATGATATTTCGACTAATATTTTTTTAAAAATTAAAATCTTGCTTCTACTTTTTTTCCTTTCCTTCCAGATGAATTGGGATATACATAAATAGTTTATAAGAGCATTCGTTTCTCGCTTATTTGTAACAAGGAAAATAAAATATGTTGTGAAATATTATACAAGTTTTATGATGGAGTCTTTGTTATCCTTACATCAGCGTTGTGCCTGCCTCAACTTAATTTTGATAACTAAGGTGGATGTTGAACATGCACTAACCAATAAAAGAGTGATCAGAAACTTCTCTTTCAAAATATGTCAAGCAATGATGAAATAACATAAATAAGACAGGTATTCAAAGTTGTCAGATCTTGATATAAAACCAGATGAAACTAAGTTTACGATGCTCTTTAAATTAATGGCAATGGGCTGTTTTCAAAGACCCGGGGATAAATGTTTTTCAATATGGCTAAAATGATACCTCTGACTCAAAGATCAGTATAAATATTTAACAAGTAATTTAGAATTAAACCAAGATCCCGTTTGAAGCCGCATCTTGTTAAAATGCCCCTTCTTATTTTATAAATTAGAAACCTTACTTTACTTCCTTACTTCTATTTTCTAATATACGTTTGCCAATTCCTAACAAATTTTAGCTTTATTTTATATCATATTTATTTAAACCCTCACAACATAGGTGGAAATATACCCCCTTGATTACATAAACTATTTCACCCCAAATCTTACATAATTATATCTCAGAAAATATTAAAAATGGATACCTAGAATTTTCCACAATTATTGTAAATATGTAAAGATCATAAATATAAAATTTTCAGATTTATTTTTAATTCTAAAAAAAGTTGTGGCATTTTTCGTTGTACTCTGCTAGAATTTTTAGAACCATTAAGAAAAATTCAAATTTGACTATATCATTGTCACCACTGCAAGACCTCGCCAGTTGCATTTTTGAATTGTTCAGGAGAGAAAAAAAGCTAAGTTAACTGTTTTTATATAAAATATAAAACTTATTAATGAATTTTAACTTATAATTTAATACTTCTTCATTAGAATAGGTTTTATTGTAAAATATTCACATATGATACCCCCACCAGGCCACTTATGAGTTTTTGTTTTTAAATAATGTGCTTTTTTAAGCAATTACGAGGTTTTAAAAGCAAGTATTTGAAAATATATACTAGGTTTTGATGACTTGTTTTTTTTTGTTTTATATGTGGTTATGTTATTTGATAAAAAAAACCACTATTTTTTAGATATTCTGGCTTATAGGTGAACCCATTTATCCAAAAAATGCTACTTAAGTGTCGTGGTGATGACGATACATTTTATTAATTCAATAGTGATTATATACAAATTATCGTTTTGGTGTCTATTCGATGATGACAGATATCACTTACCGGTTATTGAGTATGGTATTATATAGCAGATCGAAAACAACCACATGATTTTACCCTTTAATATTTAGCAAAAGGATATTATTCATTTTAATAAAGTTTGGTTGTTATTTATCAAAATCTTTATAAAGTTTGATCATTGTTTGGCATGTTTTCTTAAAATTTGTTCTTTATTTAACAAATCACTAGTCTTTAAACCATCATATGTTTGATTTAAGAATTTTTTACTCCACCAGTTTTAAAATAACATTAAAATTTTCAACTTTTGAGTCAAATAATATTATATCAAAAAATTAAAATAACTTTTTTAAATATTAATTTGCCATTTACAAACATTATTAGTAATAAAAACAAAATTCGATTTAAAACAAATTATGTAAGTATAAAAATGGGGATTATTTACCCCCTAGCTCAACAAATCGTAAATATCTCAAAAACTATAAAATGAATAATCATTAAATTTGGTATATACCTTATTACAAAACATTAAAGTGTAAACCAAGCTCAAAATATCTTATTTTTATATTATCAATTACAAAATTTATGGGGTATTAATACCACTTTTGTTCTGAAGGGTTTAACAATTATATATGCACATAATATTGATTATAATAACTTATTTTATATTATTTAATTTTAGAAAATTATCACGCCATATTCAGTAAGTTTTATATTTATTTTATCGTAATTTTTTTAGAGCTATATAAAAAAAACGTTTATACCGTTGCTTAATTAGAAAACTAATTGACGTTACTTTAGCTGTGCCTATTTTTAAAGTTATCTTATATATAGCTCTATATTCTTCCTCATAAATACTTTAAGTTATCTTATATATATTGCTTTATATTCTTCCTCATAAATTCATGTTTAATAAAGTTTTGAATCAGTTAGTAATTTAATGTTAATATAATTTATAAAAAGATTATATTGTTTTCTATTTTTATTATCCTTTATAAATGTTTCAAATAGTATAATATAAATTCTGTGTTTTTAGATTTGAAATTTTTTTTTTAAATCTTATCGATTTCTGTATAATAAAAATTCGTTCGATCAACACTTTTCTAACATTAAAAGATAAATTTTTTAAAAGATTTATTAATTGTTTGCAAGTACACTTTGGTTTTACTTTTTGGTTTATTTAAAGTACACCTTTGTCGTATATTTTACATTCGATTGTTTTTTTTGTGCATAAAGGATGAATAGAGCTATTGAAATATAAAAGTTTAAAGAAAACACATATGGAACATAGGGTAATGAAAATAACTGCACAGAATAATTCAAATTCATTTTAAAAAATACCCATAGCTGCTCTGTCATATCTTAAGATTCCGGTTTTAGAGATGGAAAAAAAGGAAGCCAAACAGAAATACAAATCGCACATTCATTCATACGTTGAATCCATTTTGGGAAAACCGTTAGAAAAATTGAATGTAAATTAGTTTTTTTATATAAAATATCCTTTCTTTTTCAACCTTAACTAGTTCTGTTCGTCTTTTTCCCCTTATCTTTAAATCATAACAAATTTTAAAGCTAAAGCCCCCAAATACTTTTTCCCAAGAAGGTGCCTATATTTTTTAGGATGATGCTATCAAATTAGATTTGTTTATGGCAGGAAAACACTTTGTTTAAAGTTTCGCTGAAATCCTCATCTATTTTTGTTTCGCTATAAATCAAACCAAATATTTGCTTTTCCAATTAAATTTTATTTTATACATCGTTTTTGGGTCATTCCATGTCAAATGAGCAAAAAAAATGAGATTTTCGGCCGACCCCCTTCGATTTTTTTAAAATTTAGTAAGCAAAGAAAGGTTAGTGTAGTTAAGAAATAGCCAAAATTTTAGCCTCGTAACATTTATATTTTTGGAGATATTAGGGTTCAAAGTGGCAAAAATGACGTATTTTTACCATTATCTGCCTTCATTCAATTAAGCATATCTTAAAAACTATCTAATTGTAAATAACAAATTTAATATCAAAATTACGTACAAAGATTCTACTTTTAGATAAAAAAAAAATTTTTTTTTTCAATTTCCGGCCATTTTATTAAATATATAAGGACTAAAAACGATTTTTTAAAAATTATACGACCTTCAATTTTTTTAAAAAATTTAGTAGACAACACTGAACTCTTCCTTTATATTTATAAAAAAAAATTGGTCTGGGACGAGGCCATCTTCATTCTCAAAATCGATAAAAATGTTTAGAAAAGTGTATAAATATTTTCCCGAAAGGGGGCGTCTTTGCATAAATTTATATTTAAATCAGTTTTTAATGGTTTTTCTTAGACTATTTGATATAATTTAAAGGAGTATTTATCTTGTAAGTGAAAATAACATAAATGGGGCTTTCATTCAATTATAGAAATTGCCTATCGATAAAAGAAATTCAATTTATTACTTTATTTATAATTTTTTATAAAATTTTTTGCTAATATAACATATATTAATATTAATAAAATATATTAAACCAAATTTATACTTCTTGAATATATGAATCAGAATCTTTAGCATTTCATATATGGCGCCCTAAATATTAAAAATAATTGATATAATATAAATTTTAAAATCTAATATATAACTCACTTTTAAAAGATTCTAATTTTTCGGTAGCGCATTTACTTTCTTGTGACGACAATGTGTAACTACGGCCAGTAGCAGTTAACGGTGAAACTAATGTTAAGATATGACATTTTGGCAAGTAGAGAGTGTCGTCTATACTTGGAAATGTAAAGGAATTAGAAGGTCCGGATGGGTGTAAAAACTTTATATATATTTCTTCCTCCTTTTGATTTTTCCCTAAAACTAAGGCTAACCACCAATTAGAATCATAAACACATGTTATATACCCTGATATCTCTCCAAAAATGATAATCATTATATGATAAATATTCTATATTACTTTCTATTGAATTGGAATACATTTTACTCTTAAATTGATATAGACCTGTGGGAATCACCGTGTGAATTTTCTGTGTTCCAGGTATAGGTCTCGTTTTTGAAAACCTTTCCCTGAGTAATATTTCTTCGTGATCATAATTTTCTTGGGTCATATATTCAAAATATATGCCATTAATATTTTCTTTAGCGAACTCGTACAATTCATATGATGTGGTTATTTGCTTTGAGTAAGGTCTTTGTAAACTAGCCCTAGCGGCTAATCTTTTAACAGTGCCACCAATCCCATCACAAACACTTTTCCCATGTGCTGTAGCAGAAAAATGCCATTCCGCCTGTATCCCGAAATCCATTTCATGATGGCAAATATTAATAAAATTTTTACGATTTTTATACTGTGCAGCAGATCCATCGGAAAAATAAAAAATTTTATTTGGCATACAAATTTTATTAATTAAAAAATTTACCAATGTTTTTTGGAAATAATGTACTGCTATTGTATTGTGTTGCAAAGATTCGGATATCATTACATAATTTAGGCAACAAATATTGGCTAAATTATCTTTATAATATATAACAAAAGGGTGAACAGTGGATTGAGCTCTATTCCAATGATAACTTTGTACTTCATCCTGAAGTATAAAGCTATAGTTTTCTGAAAAATCACATAAAATTAAATATTGGCCTTTGTCTAAGTTCAATTTTAGATTTTTTTGATACAATGATTGTTGCGTTGAAATAAAAGAATGGGGTAATAAAGATTCCATTTTTTCAAAAAAGGCATTGATAAATTCATCTACTGGCTTGGTTATTGTTTCAAGAGTGGTTCTATCTACGGATAGCCATTGTTTGTATGTTATAAATTCGATGTCCTTAGAACGAAACAATATTTCTATTTGGTGGCGTAAATTTGTTGACCCTGGACAATTATCACATTTGCCCAAATAACAGGATGGTTGAGGCGGATTACAAATTATTAAGGGTAAAATATGTTTATATGTTTTAATGGGCAACATATCATCTTTGGTTAAATTGGGTAAATTTGATCCAATGATCATTAATTTAAAATTTTGGTGGTAGCTGCAAACACAAACATTATGTGTACCACTACCTCCTACGAGTATACAATTTTTTGGGCGAATGCTTGCAAATTTCGAAAAACCGATTCTAACATCAGGCCTCATTTCCTTAAAAAATATATAAATTTCTTTCAAATTATCTAAAATTAATCTCTTTTGTATTGTATTCTTTTTTCCGTCTTCGGTCAAAATTGAAAGGCAATCTTTCTTGCCTGGCATGATTCTGCTTATTTCGTCCGTACAATAAAATTCTTGTACAATTTTAACTGTACATTCGTCTATAGTATTTCCAGGCTTGGGGTTAGGGGTTGATAAAAATCCCTTTTCCGCTATCAATAATTTAGCTTGTCTTGCCATGTATTTTGTTGTATTAAATTCATTCATTATTTTGGACACTGTCCAATTCTTTGGTAATATCGTCAAAATTTTATTTTTATCAGTTTTAGATAAGAGTGAAAAATTTTTTTTAATATTGCTTAGAATACCATCATCTTTATCGATAGTAGCTGGCTCAATCGCATTTATATCTAAATGAGTTTCTATAGCCTTTTTTATTTTGGTAATTTTTTTAATTGGATATCTTTTTTCTCTCAACCTTTTCTTTTTTATTGGAGATTCTCCAATTTCTATCAATGATGTATTAATTGATTCATAAGCCAGGTTCTCTTCGATATGATGAATATCAGGGTCTTTAAATGCGTCATTTGACTTACTAGCTGTTCCGAGTTTTCTTCGACATTTATCACATATCTTATCATCTGAGTGAAGTGACATCCAAGATTGTACATTTCTAAGATTTGTAGTTACATTATTATGTTTTAGTATTTTAAAAGGGTTACAGCATCTAGTTTTTCGAATAAGATTTTTGTTCATTTTATTGAAATTCTATATGATAAAACAAATTAATTTATAAAAATATCACCGAATATCTAATAATTACAGGTGTACCGATTAGGGGGTTAATCCGATACGATATTACAGATATTATATTGATATCGGCCAAATAACCGATATCACTAATCTGATTTTGCTCGCTCTACATATTATATATTTTATCATAACTTAAAACAAATAATTATAATTTAAATTAACCTAGTATTTCAGGACTATTTATTCATGTAAAATTCTATATAAAATTTAGTAAAAATATGGTATAATCATTTTTTGTTCCAAATACCCTATTTTGATGTAGAAAGTAACTGGTTAATTTTTGAAAAAATTATTGATTTAGTTTTAAAACCAAAAATATCCTTATAAGACATTATTAATTATTTTCATTTAGTTTTTTATAAAATTTATCGCTTCAATTAAATAATTTTTTTACCTTTGATATTATAAGAATAATTAGAATTTATTATAAGAATAATTAGAATTTATTATAAGAATAATTAGAATTTATTATAGTTTTTTTAAAATACCAAGAAATTAATTAAAAAATGAATTAATATAGTGAGCATGTGTTATTGAATGATTAATCAATTTTAAATTTTTCTTTATTTTATTGATTGAAACACTCATTTATTCTTATTTACAAGTAAAGCTATGCCGATTTTAGAAAATCCGATCCAATATTTATATTGTTTGGGTTATTGATGATACTTTTATTTTGTATATAATTTTATAATAATAATAAATTAATATTTGTAATATTTTATTAGCTTTTCCACGTCAATGGAAGAATTATAATTCTTCATATATTATTTTTTTTTGGTAAAAACAAAACAATAAATACAATGTACATAATATGGAGACACAAAAAAAATATATTATATCTTGACTTTGAAAAATTTATTTTTTTTGCGACGATCACATTATTTTAAAAAATTGATCGATATTTGGTGGATCATATTTTATTAATATTCGTTAAATATATGTTATATGGGAAAATATATAATAATTATAAATAATAATGTAATAAATTGAGTTTCTTTTATCGATAGATAATTTCTATACTTGAATGAAAGCCCCATAAGTGAAGAAAATATTATAATTTATATTTACAAGATGAATAATCCTTTAAATTATATCAAATAGTCCGAGAAAACCCATTAAAAACTGATTTAAATATAAATTTATGCAAAGACGCCCCCTTTCGGGAAAATATTTATACACTTTTCTAAACATTTTTATCGATTTTGAGAATGAAGATGGCCTCGTCCCAGACCAATTTTTTTTTATAAATATAAAGGAAGAGTTCAGTGTTGTCTACTAAATTTTTTAAAAAAATTGAAGGTCGTATAATTTCTAAAAAATTGTTTTTAGTCCTTATATATTTAATAAAATGGCCGGAAATTGAAAAAAAAAATTTTTTTTTTTATCTAAAAGTAGAATCTTTGTAAGTAATTTTGATATTAAATTTGTTATTTACAATTAGATAGTTTTTAAGATATGCTTAATTGATTGAAGGCAGATAATGGTAAAAATACGACATTTTTGCCACTTTGAACCATAATATCTCCAAAAATATAAATGTTACGAGGCTAAAATTTTGGCTATTTCCTAGTTACATTGACCTTTCTTTGCTTACCAAATTTTAAAAAAATCGAAGGGGGTCGGCCGAATCGTGGTTGATTTGTCATGGAATGACCCTTTTATAATATTATTTATAATAAATATTTTTTTTATCTATTTCTAACAATGACTTAACAGAAAATGACGATTCATACATTAAAATGTTTTTTAAAAAATTCTGCATATATATTGAAGTCCGCCATTGTAAGGCATTTAAAATGGGAAAATCAAGAAATTTAGTCGAAATGCCTTTCATGTCCTGCAGGGCTACATCAGTCAGTAAAATATTGGCCCGGCCCGTGCCCTAAAAATATTATATTTCCTTCCTATTCCCTTTTTTTTGCCTGTTTAAATATTACAATTAGAAAAGTTTAAATGAAATTAAGGGGGTAATTTATTTTTTTGTAACAATAGAATAAAATATTAACACATTAAAATAGAGAATAAAATAAATTCTTTTTTTAAAAAATTTGCCGCCAGGCCGCGGGCAGGTTCGGGCCAAAAAATTCCTATATTACCGGTCTCTAGCACCTGGCTGACTTCAGTGTATGTACATTTGATAAATTATTTGTCAGTCTAGATTAGTATTAATTGCAATGGTTTTTAATGATAATTTTTACCATATTAACTTGATGAAATTTAACTGACTGACATGATGGATGGATGCATCGATATCATCATTAAAACGGTATTTTAAGCGAGGAATTAAAAATTCATGATTTGCATATTTATTTCAGGGTGGGGTATATGACTGTTTGGTCGTCGTTTAGGGCCCCTAAAGATAGGGAATAAATTATTTTTATCAACATTATACATGTGAACATATATGTATATATTCTTAAAGGTATTTTTTGAAGGTGTCGAAAATAAGGTGATGCAAGGGGTCAAAGAAAGCGAGATAGGTTACCAAATTGCTTTCAGTAAAACCGAACTTAAAAGGGTGATTAAAGAATATTCCGGCAAAGAAGTTTGATAATTATATTTATTAATGATTTTAGAGACGATTTTTTGACTACTGTATATAACTTGCTTTTAAATGATCCCGTTATTAAAAATATAAATAAAAGCTAGCTGAAATGTCATATTTCATTCCCTACCCAGGGTTGCCAAGTCAAAATTTATAAATTGCGGGAGAAATTTGGTATTTTGCGGGAGAAATATGAAAATTGCGGTAGAAATAAAAAATTTGCTAAAAAATTAATTATCCGCCTATTATTTTTTATAATTATTTATATAAATACAAATTCGGTAACTATTTTTAAAATAAAATAACATCTTGAGTTATTTTAATATATTAATTTATAAAAAAGAATGTAAACAATATAAAATTTTATAAAAAAACAAACGATTTTAATTTTACAATGTAAAAAATATATTTTATGCGAATGTCCCGCGAAACATCCGCAATTGGAAATCTACCTTGTGTGTGTGTATAACATTATAGGGATAGGCGCTAAATTATCACGTTTAAATATATAATAAGGTAATATTGTACTCATTTCAATGATAATTTTTTATTTATTATTGTTCAATCACATTATTATAATCAGTGCAGGTGAGTGTATCTACATCCATTGCAAAACAAAAATATTCTCCAAAAGAAATAATACAGATGCAACTACGGTTGCAGCAATTGTAATTACTTATCTTGTAGTACAACATTCACAGAGCTACTTATCATTACAATGTAGGTAGAATCTTTCCCCATAATATTTAATGACTCTAAAATAAATGAAAACTTTATTTTAGAACAAAAATGAGCAAATCATCAATGTTTTAGAACCTGAATTCAGGAGGTCAATTTTTGACGATTTAAGATGGGCATACATACGCAATTCTAACATATGCATCTAATAAGGGAAATATTTTAATATTTTTTTTGATCCTTCGCTATTTCAACAAAATTAAGGACGTTTCAAGAAAACTATTAAATTTTTTCCCCTCAAATAGTGAAAAGTCTAAAGACATAGCTAACCATATAATGGTAAACATAGTAGATTCGGGATTATCAATAAATTACATGTCAACTTTATGATCTGATAATGCCTCAGTGTATTTGGAAAAAACCAGAGTGTATTTACAGAATTGAGTCAGCACAATGTTGGTTGCGATATGTTCCTAATACCCGCCATCTATAGAATTTTAAAATTTTATAAACCTTTAAATATTTCTTAAATAAAGATTATAAAAGCTGTCCTAACATTTTGAAATTTTTTTTCAGTAATGAATGGCAGAGGTATATTTAGGAATGATTTCACATGTAGGAAATCTACTACATACTGTTAATGTGCAGTTGCAATCAGAAGAATCTTAACAAAGATTCACAAAATTATGCTGCAGATGTGTTAATCTTTACAGTTAAAAATTGACAATAAATTTTATGGCGCCATTGCTAAAACTATATTAAAATGTTCAAATATTATAAAAATACCGATAGACATTGATATCTTGTTTGAGGATATTGTAATGCTCTCTATTTTTGATTTACAATGTAAAAAATATATTTATTTTATGCGAATGTATAAATAAAAAAATATGGAAAATTAAATATAATATTAATTATATATTATTTGAGATTTAAATAATGGAACTAAACGTTTACCGTCGTTATTGAGATATTTATAAAAATTCCTGGCATTTAATGTTGTTAAAGCAATCCTTTTCCCAGGCAGTCCTCATTAGGCTAAAAATGCACTCGGATGAGGCATTAGAGTGAGGTAAAGAAGACATACTCGCAATTTTTTTCCAAGCATGGGGATTTATTGTTATTACGAAAAAATTCTACCCGTTTCTTATCTGCTTTTAGACAATTTAACCTGGCGAATCATAAAAATTAGAGAGAATTACAATCTCCTCAAACAATACATCAATGTCTTTCGGTATTTTTAATATATTTATAAAATTACAAAAACCATCAATTGACGGTTTCTGTTCCAAGGTCATAATATTTATACATTTGTAAATAGAGTTATTAAAATCAAATTTTGATCGTAAATATTCTAAAAATATCTGCTTCATTTAAAAATTAGAGTATTATTTGAAAATAATATTTTTAGCAATAGCGCCATAAAATAAATTTTTAACTATAGAGATGAACAGAGCTGTAGCATGATTTTGTGAATCTTTATTAATAAAGAATATTCTGATTGCAACTGAATATTAACTTCATGAAGTAGATTTCCTACATGTGAAACTAATCCCAAATATGCTTATGCTATTTCATACTTGAAAAAATTTTTCAAAATTTTAGGACAGCTTTTAAAATCTTTATTTAAAAAATTTTTTTAAGGGTTTGTAAAATTTTAAAATTCTATCGATGGCAGGTATTAACGATAAGCACCTGATAGGTACATATCGCAACAACTCACACCATTCCAAATCAGACCACTCCACCAACTCTTTTAATTCATTAACTCTTATAGTTTGAATTAAATTCGTTAAAACATCTCATCATCATTATTTCGACATCCACAGATAGTACATTCATTGCCTTCTTGCAAGAATCATGTAGTATATGGCATATACAGTCAATTGGTATTAATTCATTATTGTGCGGCCTCAATTCGGTAAATACACTTTGGTTTTTGCCAAAATTTACAGAGGCATTATCAGCGCAGATAACTGACATGCAATTCATTGATAACCTTGAATCAGCTATATTTACATTATGTGGTTAGCTACATCGTTGGATTTTTCACTATACGAGGAAAAAAATTTAACAGTTTTATTGGAATGTTCTTATTCTTGTTGAAATAGCGAAAGATCAAGGGAGTAATATTTCCCTTATTAGATGCATCTGTCTCTTTCAAATCGTTTAGAATTGACCTCTAGGATTCAGGTACTAAAACACTTGTGATAGCTTTGCTCATTTTTGTTAGGTTTGCACTTATATTGGAGTCGTTAAGTACCATGGGAAAAAGATTCGACCCACATTGTGATGATATAGCTCTGTGAATGTTGAACTACATGATAGGTGTATACGATTTCCGCAACTGTAATTGCATTTGTATTATATATTATTTATGGATTTTTGTATTGCAATCGATGTTGATACACTCCTTTGTACCGGTGAATGAAATGATGTTAATTTATTATTGGATAAAAATAAAACAGAATAGAAAGAAATTTACAAACTAGACATATTTTCGAATAAATATTTAAAATTTATTTTAAAAATATAAAAATAATCAATTACTGTCTCTCAAAATTATTATTTATATATTAAAAACTTTTTTAAAAAATTGCGGGAGATTTCCAATTGCGGTAGTTTTGCGGGAGAGAGATGTCTGCGTGTAAACTAAAAAATTGTGGGAGTCTCCCGCTATTGGGGGGAGACATGGCAACCCTGTCCCTACCCCTCAGTATTTTTGAAATAATTTATAAAGCTAAAAAATAAACATAAATAAAAGGGGCAAATGGAAAGAAATAAACTCGAACTGATGTTTAATAAATATAAGTACAAAATAATAGGATTAAATTTTAAAAAATTTAAATAAAATTGTATATATGGCTAGATACAACATTTTTATATCTCTATACAGTAATTTAACAATTGTAAAATATTACCATGATTTTTTTTATATTATTGATTTTTTTAACAACTATATCATCTTTGAAGGTGAAGAAGCGGTTAGAATCATTGTATAAAACTGTCGAAAAATATATCGGACAAGATAATAGCCTTTTACAAGTATTATTTAACAATAGAATAAAATATTTTTTTCCCCATAATATAACATCTTAATTCAATTTAAAAATCAAAATATTGAAAAAAATATATATAGTCTTAGGCAAATTAGATTTAGTGTGTTTCTTTTTTTCATATTTATTTAGGAATATGAAAGTAAACTATTGATTTAAAAACAAAAACTATTTTGCTGGTTGCGATAAAAAAGTTAAATAAAATTCTCATTTTTCATGGACCCCCCCCCCCTCCCCGAGGAGTTGCAGCATGCACTAAAAATTAATTACACAAATGATAATATCAAATCCATATTTTATCTTTTCTATATTAATATTATATGCTCCTAACTCTATTTGGATCATTACAGGTATCTTTTTTTAAGGGTTTTATTTATTATTTTGAATAAATTTCTAATAATAAAGCGATACAAAAAATAATTCTCAAAGGTTGTTTGGAGATCCGTTCAAGAAGAATTCATAAAACATTATAAGAATTTTGAGACATTGATTCATAAATGTTATCCCGATTCGCAGATCAGCATGGATTTTACCCTGGACGAGCTGCTAAGTTATTTTTCGGATATAGCTCAACAGCATTAAAATTACAGATTTTTTTATTCATATTTATTTAATATTGATATATTTTATTACAGTTTGGATTGATAATATTTTCAATAAAATTTTATTTAACCCTAAAAAAATGTTTGTTTATAGTATGAAAAAATAATTCACTCTAGATTTTAATAAAGTACAGACATCAAAATATTGAGAAGCCAATTAATTTAACTCTTATGATAAAGATTAAAAGCATTTTTGTATGAAAAAAAATCTTATTTTAAGAGGCCTATAAACTTTTTTTAAAAAAAACATATAAGCCAAGAAAATGAATATAAGTAAGTTTATTTAAGTTAGAATATTCCAACCAGAGGTTTGCAACAAGGGGGTGGGGATTTAACTTATTGAAATTATTTTTAAAACAAAAGGACGGTAAATTTGAAATATTTATGATCAAAACGGGCTTATATTTTTAAAAATTATGTTTTTATTTGCTAATATTGCATGCTTTATAATTAAGTAAAAATATATTAAAATTTTTTAAACATTGGGAGGTAGGGCGAACTGATACAATTTTTAAATAATAGGTTCGCGGGTAAAATTTTGTAAAACTGCGGGGCGGCGGGTTAAATTTTCTCAAAAATTGGCGGGCGGTTTAAAAACTATTATTGCAGTCCCAACTCAATTTTTTATTCCGTTTACAAAAATTGTGTACTTGAGATATCAATATAATTGGGTCATAAGGACCAATCCAAAATATATTTGATCAATGATTAATACTGCCAAAGGTAGCGTTGAACCAATCGGTATTTTATTTTTTTATTTAAATCGAGACCGCCACATCTAGTATTAATTATCACCATTTGTAAAATACCTAATTCTTGTATTATATCACATGCTTCATAAATTTCAGTATTAGTAAGATGCACCCCTTGTAATTTCTATGGGACAAATATCACATACATCTCTAATATATTTGTATTTGCTCCATAATTTTATTGACGATGCCCATCTTGTTTAGCTAATTGTACTTAATGTAGAGAGTATACCATGTTGATTCTTATTACTGGAAAATACTGCAATTTGTGTTTCTTGAAAAATTTAACAAATTTTTAATCATTAATATATGGTAACTGAAGGCGTTCAAATGTTCAAAACGCGGAAGAATAACTGCAATTTATGTACTGCACAACCATAACATTGTGTATAATTATAAATAGATTCAGATTTTAGAATTCTCCAGACTGCTTTCTTGTTAGCATTATCGGTAACTAAAGATTATACTTTTACCGGATTCAATTCATGAATTACTATTTTAAATCCCTGGGCAATATAATATACCGTATGGCGATTTTCCTCAGTGTTTAAAAATTTGTAGAATACTGGAACAGGCGTCATCACCATAAAATTAAACTCGTTTCTGATGTTGCTCCAACCATCTGACACAATTGATAAGTGAGGAGCTTTATCTATTATATCTGCAACTCTTGCCTCCGTATCTCCTGAAGCTTTGTCTAAAAAGATATCCAGCCAGCTGCCTTCGCCTAAGTAAAGTGTAAATAGGACGTCTTTTTAAAAAAACTTTGGATGGAAGAATTTTCACATGGAGAGGTAAATTGCTCACTAATACAGCCTTTACAAACAATTGATCGAGCTCATTTTTTTCTTTGGGATTCACATTTATGAAACCGGTTATACAAGATTGAGATTTACATTTAGTTACCTTGCTTGTAGATTGATCAGTGAAAATGAAATAAAATTCTCCTGAGTAAGGCAAAATATTGTCAATTTGATCATTATTCTCACTAATTTCACCCAATTCTTCATCAGAGCTAGAAGTATTACAATTACATTTGTGTGATTTTTTGTCGATGATGATATTTTGGAAAAAAATTTTCCTTAATTATGACAGGGCACATAGTACTGCTTAATAAATGCTTGACAACGTAAGTAATATATGACATCTTGCAAAACCTGCATACCACTTTGACTGATTTACTATCGCGCTTCTTAAAATGTTTCCAAACTGGATGCTTTGGTTTGACCATAATCTCTAATATATTAAAATTTAAATAAAAGATTTTGAATAATGTACAATTATCTTAATTATTTTATAATAATCGACCAATTATTTCAATAATTTGGCTAAATATTAAATATAATATATTAATTTTTGCCAGAATTGAATAAATTATTTTATAACCAGAAAATACTTAAAAGAAAATTAATTAATAAATTCAAATGTAGCAAGTAGAAATAAAATAAATGAGAATTATCGGCTAGATATTGATATTAAAAAATAAACCATGACATAGCTAAATTATTATATTTATTTATTTTAGTAATAAAAAAAATTCTTTTGTTTTTATAATATAAAATAAAGGTCTAATATTTTAGTATGAAATTCTTAAAATTTAATATAAAATTATAATTCGGCAATATTAATTTAGAGTATTTGACCGGTCAAATACTCCTTCGGTCAATTGACCGATATGCCAACCCTGATTTATACCCGTTTTCTTCATCCGATTATATAATAAAACAACTATATATAGTTTATCATATTCTCAATTTTTTTTATTAAATAAATTGTTATTTTTTAGAAAATGAAAAATATACTTATTTTCTATTTATTCAAAAATGGGCTAGACATGTTCTCAGGTTGGCCTATAGCTGGACGCTCGCCATTTTTTTGTCTTAATTATAATGCAAACCACAAAGCATTCTGTGAGATCAAATAGAATTATCAAAATAATAAATATAATTCATGTAATAATATGATAATTTACCATTTTTTTCTTGTATAACACCTAACAATCAACCCCAATTTGATGATTTCTTGCGAAATTAAGTCATTTCACTTTTTTTCAAGTTTTGTAAGATTCAAAAAATAGAAGTAATATAATTTTTCGGTATATGAAACCCATATTTTGAGGGCTCTTTGAACCTCGTTGAAAGGAACGAATATTCCACTTTTTACCAGGGAATTAAAGAATTAAACTTGCTGCATTTCAATTTTCATTCTCATAGCATAACATTATCATTTTCATATCTTCTCTTGATAACATTATTAATTTACAAAATCAACTTAAATTTTTATATTGCCAATAAAGGAAATTTAATAATGAGATTTATTTGATAATGATTTAGGAGTGATTTCGAAAAAGGTGAGAGTTTGGATACATTTTTTTATCTTTTATAAAAACCCATTTGATAAAATTTAAATATTTTGAGAATAGAACATAATAAAATAGAAAATTTTAGAGTTATAAATATTTCATAACGCGACTTTTTTTGGTCATCCGGTAAATGATTGATAAATTTTTGATCTCATGATCAACTTTCATCCAATAGTAGGGACCAGGGCTAGTCGGTGCAATTTTAGTCAAAATCATCCCTGAAAATAATTGTTTTATTTAAATCTATCCATAAGATAAAAACAACTTAACTAAAGTTATACACTAATAAATATTTTATACTTCTTTCTCAAGATTGATTCTAATAAAAGTAAATTTTTGTCTTAACAAGCCCCAAATCCATGACTTGTAGTGTGATGTAAAAATATTTTGATTTATATCTAAAAAACACATTTTAACATTTAAAAAATTTAATATTTTAGGGTAATAAAATATTTTTTGCCACAAATATAAATATTATAGAATGCTATTATATTATTAAATTTGCATGTTTTTAATAAAATTCACTGAACTGAAAATCCCCCCCCCCCCCGACTAATCCTGGTATCCCCTTATTTTTTTTCCCTTTACCAAAATTTATCGCTATAACAACATTACTATAGTTATTTTACTTTGATATTAAGAATTCATTTTTTTTATTATGTATTATATTTTAAGAATAACACCTAATAGAAGGAGGGATAGAATTTCTGGGCATTAAACTCACTCATTTTAATTAAAACATTATTTCACTAAACTATATTCCCATTGAAATAATTCATTTACTATAATACATTAGCGCTAATGCATTCGTTTTAATATTTTCGCGGTAATACAGTTGCGATAATGCATTCGCGATAACGGTTTCACAATAATTTTTATTCGCGTTATTAATTACGAGAGTTACTCATTAAAATTTTCAGGCTAAAACTTTCGCGGTATTACTTTTTGAAAGTATGGCTAGATAGAAATCTTGAGTTTTAAAAATTATTCTTTTTTTTCGGCCAAAGACCCCCCCCCCCCCATGGCAATAAAATTTTTAGCTCAGGCCCACGACTTTTCATAAGTAGAATTAATAAGTATATCTCATACTCAAAATGTTTATTTTATTCTCTTTAAAATATTCTACATTGAATTTAAATAGTGATGTAAACATTTCTAAAAAAATCCAAACATCGAACGCGTTCACGATCACTTTAAAAAAGGGACGCGTTCACGTTCGTTCAAAATTTTATGATAAATTTTTATTTAATTTAATATAAATAAATATCTTTATGTTTTAACACAAAATATTTGTTAAAAAATAGTTTTATTTTGATAATATAATTATAAATACACTATGGCGAATAAAAAGCTCCGTGTAGTTGGCCGAACGATTGGAAGCACTAACGATGAATCATATGTCATTTTTTAGTGCTTCGTTAGTGCTTGTTAGTGCTTCAATCCGTATAGTAGCCGAATTTAAGGAAAAAAAGTTATAGGCAAAAATAAAAATTTGTGCCAACTTCACGCTTAAAAGTCGATTGGAAGCACTAACGATGAAACTTATATCATTCTTTAGTGCTTCGTTAGTAGAGGTTAGGGCTTCAATCCATTTTGTAGCCGAATTTATGAATAAAAAGTTATTCACGAAAAAAACAAAAATAAACAAATATTGGCGACGTGCCAAAACAAAAACTAGAGTAGTACTTAACATACGGTTTTCGCCATTATTTAGTGCTTAATTAATGTATTTAAATTCCATTATTAATTTAGTTAACCGCCATATGGAAAAAAAGTTATTAACTAAATAAAAATTATGACGTCACGATTTAAGCGTGAAGTTGGCCGAACTTTTGGAAGCACTAACGATGAAACTTATATCATTCTTTAGTGCTTCGTTAGTAGAAGTTAGTGCTTCAATCAGTTCCGTAGCCGAATTTAAGAATAAAAAGTTATTCACGAGAAAAACAAAAATAAACAAATAATGGCGACGTGCCAAAACAAAAACTATAGGAGTACTAAACATCCGGTTTTCGC